ATTTTAATATTACCTTGTTTGCATTTATAAAAAAGGAGGGGAGGGGAGGAGTTTTAATATTACCTTGTTTGATTCATGAGAAGAGAGGAGAGAAAAATATTTTGACATGGATAACTTCGTCCTTATTTTATTTAAAATATAGGCATAATAGTCATCATATGACAAAATATGGGTATAATAGTTACAACATGACAAAATATTATCTTTCCCTCCAAATCTTCTCAATTTTAGAGGGGAGGTTGAGGAGGGGAGGGGAGGAGAAATTTTCCCTCCCCTCCTAAAATTGTGTGTGTTGTCAAACAAGAAGAAATGATTAAATCCTTCCCCTCCCTCCCCTCCCTTCCAAATCTCTCATACCAAATATACTCTTTTTAGGGTCTGTTTGGCTCAACGAGAAGAAAGGGAAGAGAGGGATTTTAATAGAGGAAAGGGGAGGGGAGGAGAGTGGAAGGATTTTAATATTACCTTATTTGAATTTATAAAAAAAGAGGGGAGGGGAAGAGTTTTAATATTACCTTGTTTGATTTATGGGGAGAGGGGAGGGAAAAATATTTTAACATAGACAATTTCACCCTTGTTTTATTTAAGATGCAAGCATAATGGTCATCACATGACAAAATATAAGTATAATAGTCATAACATGGCAAAATATTACCATTTTCCTTCAAATCCTCCCAATTTTGAAGGGAAGGTTAAGGAGGAGAGGGCAGACCCTCCTAAAATTTGTGTGTTACCAAATAAAAAAAAAAAGATTAAAATCCTTCCGTCTTCCTCCCCTCACCTCCAAATCTTGGTCGTGTGGTAATTTTGAACTATGCTATAGTTTCATGTTGTGTTTTGTTTTTTGTTTGCTGGATTATATAATTGTGGTGTTGGGGTAAAATAAATTAGGATATGCAGCAATAATGCATCTGTATTAGAAAGTCTGTGAAGTCTAAATGTCATCAATATGTATTCATTCATGTTTTCTTTTTATCTGGCTATCTTTGAATGCGCACACTCACTTTCAGGCCAAAAAAAGAAATACACACACTCACGCATGCGTATATATTTATTTCTGGGAAAATGAGAGCTATACAATATTTTCTTGAATTAGAGGGGTGGACATTAATAATATGAGATGATAAGTAAAATCGAACTTGCAACTTCTTATTTACAAGAAGCATATGTGTCACTAAACTATATGAGCTATAAAATCATTATTTGAGATTATATATTATTAATGAAAAATTAAATGAATATTAAAGATGATGGATAAATATCACAATTTTCTCCACTATGAGGTTCCACCAACACACATACTACATTCAGTTCTTAATATAATATTTAGTTAATTAATTTGAAGAAATTAAAAAAATTAGTTATTTGTAATAAATAGATTTTATTTTTATTATGACACTTTTATTAATTATGTATATTTGAATTACCTATTAATAATAATTCCTTAACATATACAACTACTATAGGTATTACTTGAAAGAAAAATAAATAAATATTAAAAATAAAATAGATCAAAATCTTATATTTAAAATCAAATTAAATATCAAATTAATTTTTATATTAAAAATAATATTTGTTTAAGGCGCAAGGGGCAACGGTAGATCCAAACCAAAAAAAAAAAAACAGGAGTATTCCATGATAAAATTGCAATCAGTCTCCACTCAAGAGAATTAAATATAAAAAAAATCTCTTAAAATCATCAAATTATTTTGAAGTCCTAAATGACGTTATTGTAAGCGATTCCATTTGTTAAATTATCAAATTGTCTTTTTTTTTTTAATTTTACATTAACAACTAAAAGAATAGCTATTAACAATTTAAGGTGTAACGATTAATAACTATCATGACAACTATTGATAGAAAATGTATTGTCACTAATTGTCACGATAGTTGTTAATCGTTACACCTTAAGTTGTTAATGACTGCTTTTTCAGTTGTCAATACAAAATTTAAAAAAATAATAAAAATAATTTAATAATTAAACAGATAAAATATTTTGTAATATGTTTTTTTAGAACTTCAAAATAATTTGATAATTTTAAATGACTTTTTTATATTTAATTCTCTTGGTTGGGGCTTTATTGTAATTTTCTTGTTTCATGGTGCGAGATAATGGATGTCAGAAATTAAGTGGGCCCAGTGGACACGTGGAAACTAGATTTCCAAACATCAAGAACCAGCGGGACAGCAGCGGGATGTTGCTTCCTTTTCGGATAATTTTTTAGCCCCACTCACCGCTAACCCTTCCACCTTTGTGTTTTATTTTTATTAATTAAAATTATTTATTGTTTTCACTTTTAATTAAGAAAAAAATTTAAAAAAAATAAAAAATAGAAAAATTATAGGGGAAATCACAAATAAAGACCCTCGAATTAGCAAAATCACTATATGGTCACCTGAATATGCTAAATTACTATGAGGGACCCGGTCTCAAATTGTAATTATGAAATCATGGCCAAATTACCAAAATACCCCTCTTTAATTTTTTTTTTTAAAAAAGAAAGCCACTGCCTCACCGGAATCCGGCCACCGGCGGCCGCTTCCGGCCACTGTCGGCGGTAGGACGCCGGAGCTCTGGCGCCGGCGACCACTTCCGGCGGTCTTCCTTTGTTTTTTTTTTGAAACTATTTTTTTTTTTAAATTGAGGGGAAGTGAGGTTGGGGGGATTTGATCCCCCAACCTAATGCTTCCCAAAATAAGAAATGACCATTGAGCCAACAAATTTTTGTTAACATTATGATGCAAAAAAAAAAAAAGTTAATTCATTTACTCTTGTTCCAGGTGATAACAACAATACATTTGGAAATAACAAGTTCTGATCGTAAAATAACACGTCTGGAATAAAAATTTAACAATATGTTTTTTTTATAACAATAAATTTTGTTGCAGGCAATAACAACAATACATTTAAAAATAACAAGTTCTGATTATAAAATAACAAGTTTGGAATTAAAATTTAACAACACGTTTTTTTTTATAACAACACACTTTATTTCAAGTGATAACAACAATACATTTAAAAATAACAAGTTCTAATTATAAGATAATAAGTTTGGGATTAAAATTTAACAACATGTTTTTTTATAACAACACACTTTGTTTTAAGTGATAACAACAATACATTTGGAAATAACAAGTTCTGATTATAAAATAACAAGTCTGGAATTAAAATTCAACAGCACCTTTTTTTTATAACAATTAATTATTTTATACTTTTGGAAAATAATTATTTATAACTTATAAAAAGTACTTGTAATCTATTTAATTTGCTAAAAAAATAATTTTTATCTCCAATTATAATCAGAACTTGAAGTATAATTTTTTATAGATTAAAAATACTTTTTTATTGTTCAAATTTATAAATAAAATTTAGGGAAAATGGCAACACACTTTTTTAATTTTTTTTAAAAAAATTTTTAATCTATATATCTATACAACTTATTATAAATCAAACTACTTCTTATAAATTATAAATAGTACAATTTATTGTGGATTAAAAATACTTTTTGACTGCTTAAATTTATAAATGAAATTTATCTCTAATTTATAATTAAAAATACTATTTTATCCTTTAAATATAAAAACTATTTTTAATATTTAAAGAATGAAATAATATAAAATTTATACTATGATTAATAAATCAAAAATGCCTTATTATAAATACTTTATAATTTATAAGAAGTAGTTTGATTTATAATGAGTTGTATAGATATACAGATTAAAAAGTATTTTTTTAGAGAAATAAATATATTAAAAATATTTTTTATGTTATAAATAATTTATTTTTTAAAAGTATAAAATAATTAATTGTTATAAAAAAACGTGTTGTTAAATTTTAATCCTAGACTTATTATCTTATAATCAGAACTTGTTATTTTTAAATGTATTGTTGTTATCACTTGAAACAAAGTGTATTGTTATAAAAAAACGTGTTATTAAATTTTAATCCCAAACTTGTTATTTTATAATCAGAACTTGTTATTTTAAATGTATTGTTGTTATTACCTGCAATAAAATTTATTGTTATAAAAAACATATTGTTAAATTTTTATTCTAGACGTGTTATTTTACAATCAGAACTTGTTATTTCCAAATGTATTGTTATTATCACCTGGAACAAGAGTAAATGAGTTAACTTATATTTTTTTTTGCATCATAATGTTAACAAAAATTTGTTGGCTCAATGGTCATTCCTTATTTTGGGAAGCATTAGGTTAGGGGATCAAATCCCCCAACCTCACTTCCCCTCAATTTAAAAAAAAAAACAGTTTAAAAAAAAAAAAAAGGAAGACCGCCGGAAGCGGCCGCCGGTGCCAGAGCTCCGGTGGCCGGTCGTCGACAGTGGCCGGAAGTGGCCGGAGCTCCGGCGCTGGTGGCCGGATTCCGGTGAGGCAGTGGCTTTTTTTTAAAAAAAAAAAAATTAAAGAGGGGTATTTTGGTAATTTAGCCATGATTTCATAATTACAATTTGAGACCGGGTCCCTCATAGTAATTTAACATATTTAGGTGACCATAGAATGATTTTGCTAATTCGAGAGTCTTTATTTGTGATTTCCCCAAAATTATAAATAGGGGTTCATTATAAAATTAGTATAGATTTTGACAATAATTGATAAACAAATAATAACAATTTTGTGAACGGGTCTTGTATGTAATTTTTTTAATTTTTAAAATTTCTTTCTGCGATTTTTCCTTTAATTAAAAAATAATATTGCCATTGACTTGACCAAACACTGGTCTTCTGTCTTCTTTTTTTTTTTTTGACCGGAGTCTTCTGTCTTCTTTTAACTCTTCTCATTTGGACTATGACAGAGAGCAGACCTTCACATTTCTTCTGCCTCTTACAGTCTGAGAAACAGTAGTAGTTGGGAACAACATCGACCCCATGAGTTAATTCTAGCAAATCTCTTGAGCTTTCAGGTTACTTGATCTCATTTGCTCTGGTATCTGTCAATTTTCTTCATAACTTTTTACTCTGTTCGTGTATATTTTCCTAATTAGTCAGCATCACTTTTTCCTTTTTCCAAAAGATTCATTACTTTAGATCTGCTTGTTCATCACTTTCAGAGGCATATTTGCTGGAGAAACAAAAGTCCAGATTTCAGTTCAAGTCTCGAGGTAAAGAAAAGTTCTTAAATATGGAAAATTCTTAGTTTATTACAGGACGAAGAAAACCGGCATAGTGTATATTTAAATAGCAGCAGGAAAAAAAATGCTCAAGAAGCTGTGCAGTGTATATGCTTTTGAATGCATGATATTTTGCTCTCTTCAGTACAGTGATTTTGGCAAAAGCACTTTTTCATCATATTTATTGCCAACAAGGTCAAAGAGCACTACTACTCACTGTTGCTAAGTTATTTCATTTGTTTCTCTGTTCACATACTTCACGGTCTAATTAAATCACTATCAGAGTATTTGAGGTACAAATAACAAAACTACAAGAGGAGAATGATTTGTTATGTCTATAAAAGTACTTAATCAAATTTGTGTTTGCTTTACAAGGAGAAATGGCTACATCTGATGCACATTCAACAAGTTCAGAACCACATCAGCGGCTTCAAAGGGTTGTTTCAGCTCAGTTTAGGACGCCTTCCCTTGATCTATTATCAGATACAGGTAATATCTCTATCCTATATATGATGATTCACATGCAAGTTTCTTCATGGATCAAGCTCTATTTTCCTTTTTCCAGAACTACAAGTTAAAACTATGTAAGCGTCCTTGACAATAAACTCGGCCGTATCAATATATTAGTTGGTGTAATATCAAAGTTTGGATCTGCAAAGACACAAGTTCAGAATTTGTAAAGGGTCCTATGTTCTAATTTCAGATGATATTTGGCTCATACATCTCTGACTTTTCAGGTTACTGACTTCAGGTGTTTCGATTTAAACTTTTTTCATGTTAAACCTCTACGTAGCAACCAATACCTGTCATTTGAAAGAATCTTTCGTCTGTCATGAGTTATACCAGCAAGAATGATGAAAACAACACTTTCTAATTACAGATTAGCTGCTTCATGTGACTCAACACTGAACTTCCTACTCTCAAGCACAAGAAATCCAAGGATTCTAAACAAATCTGAATCCACTAAATTTTTTTTTTTTTTTAATCTGTTACTTGTTTCAGAAGAAGCCAGAGAAAAATACTTCAAAATTTGTGTACCTCTTCGTAAAGCAGCATTGAAAGGTGATTGGAAAGCAGTATGGCACATCATAGAACAAGATTTGACCCTTCTGACTGCGGCCATAACCAAGGGTTGGTTAACGGTTCTTCATGTCGCAGCAGGAGCAAACCATGTCCACTTGGTTGAAGAGTTGGTGAAATTAATGGAGCGGAATGACTTGGAATTACAAGACCAAAAAGGGAACACAGCCTTCTGCTTTGCTGCTGCATCTGGGAACATCAAGATTGCTGAAATAATGCTACAAAAAAATGTATTCTTGCCAAATATCAGGGGTGGACAAGGAGTGACTCCTGTCGTCATGGCTGTTTTACAAGGGAAATGTGAAATGGCATCGTATCTATATCCTAAAAGTTATGAAATATTTGACGACTGGGATTGGAAACTACTGTTCTTCATTTGTCTCAACTCTGGAATCTATGGTAAGTATAAGGTCCCCAAGCTGTCAATCAGTATAGGGTGAGAGGCAAAATAGTTTATTTGAGCTTTAAAGTTGATAAACATATCATTGTTATTTGCTCCTGATCAGAAGATCTTGGGGGATAAGATCTTGGGGGAAAATAGAGATGATAGAAATAGTCTTTGCTCATGCCTGCGTTAATTGGTCTGCCAAGCTAGCTTTCACAGTAAACTTAGAGGGATTTAAGGCTTTGGATCATTCAAGTCATGTTTACCACAAGCATTGGAGGGCCCATACTCATGTCCCTTAATTTAGTTGGTAAAATTCAACATACTACTTCCGGTTCTTAATAGAAGAGCTAGTTAATTAATTTGAGTAGATTAAAAAAAAATGTTTAGTTATTTATAATAAATAAGTATTGTCTTTCCTAGAATATCCTTACTAATTATGTGTATTAGCTAAAACTACCATTTGATAGAATTTTTAACATGTGCAACTACTATAAGAACTACTTTAAAAAAAAAAGATAGATATAAGAAACAAAGTGGATTTAGGTCTTATATTTAGAATTGAGTTAAACTAGCTCTTATATTAAGGACCGGAGGTAGTATAGGGTGGACTTTACAGAATGAAAGGTTCAACCAATATATAACCATCGAGCAATGGATGAATGATCAAAACACAAATAATTGACTGTTTCATTTATGATTTTCACCTTTCTTAAAATTGCATGGTGAGAGCACTCAAAATTAGTCATGTGTGTGATTCCGCTTGATGTAGTGTGTGAACTACAAGTACCTCACTTAGTTACACATCTCTAAAGCAATGTACGAATTGTCAACAAAGAAGTTGAAGCATATACAAGTAGACACCAACAATTATGTATTAGAATTTGCAATTCAAGCATTATTGGAACGTCTTGCAGATTTAGCCTTGGTACTGCTACAAAAGAGGCCAGAGCTAGCTTTAGCTCAGGATGGAGAAGATGGCACAGCTTTGCATATGCTAGCTCGAAAGCCTTCAAGTTCTGGTTGCCAGAGTCCCGCACATCAAAAACAGATCATGAAGTCCAGTAAGTGACTACAATCAACACTATCAGGAAAACTAAGTAATTAGATTATTTTGTCCATTTATGTTATTTATTGGGCAGAAGAAGAAATACTTAATATTCCTGATTACTTGAAAGAAGGAAAGCAGGATGGTGAAAGAAGCTACCATCAGTTCTTGCTTTAAAGATTCTCAAGAAGAAAACGGTTCTGTGCTTGGTTATTCTTATTTTCATTATGGCAGGCATAGGCTGAATCTAATTTTAAAAGCGAAAGTACTCCAATCATCCTATACATAACTATTGACCCAAGGAAGATGCTACCTCCGACCCTTAATATAAAAAGTAGTTGACTAATTTGAATAAATTAAGAAAATTAGTTAAGTTAGTTATTTGTAATAAATAGGTGTTGTCTTCTTTATAATACCCTTACTAATCATATGTATTGACTAGAATTTTCATTTAATGGAATCTTTAAGATGTGCAACTATTATATGGACTACTTTAAGAAAAAAAGGATACACATGATAGACAAAATAGATTGAGGTCTTATATTTGGGATCAAGTTAAAAGTCAAACTAACCCTTATATTAAGAACGGGTAATACAAAGCAAAGATGCTTGACTCATAAATAAATGTATTCATCCAAGGGTAAGACTAGGAATAGACTGTCAAGGACAAATTCAACTGAAAAATCAAAACACCAAGTTGCGATGTGGCTGTTTTTCTGTAAGGTCATCTATAGCTATATTGCAATATCTAACTTTTCGTTCATTTGAATGCACTTTAGGATTAAGTGTCGATGCATTTACACCACACATTTATGCTAGCTGGGAAGGACTAAACTCTAGACTGCTTGGTTAAAAACACAGCAATATTACAAATGCTATAAATATGTTATACTGTGTGGAATTGATTTTTTAAGACCTTTTTTTTCCTTCCCCCCCTTGTCTTACTTCTTCATTACATAACTAAATTGTTTCAGGTGTAAAGCAGAACCTCGCAATTGAGCTTGTTAGGAATATTTGGAATGAAGTTCTTCTTCTAGATGAGTCGAGCATGATGAGACTCATAAGAGAACCTTCACAAATTATATTCAATGCCGCTGAAGTTGGAAATTTTGAGTTTCTAGTAGAGCTTTTTAGCAGCTACCCTGATTTGATTTCGGAAAAGGATAGCAGAAACCGAAGTATAATTCACATCGCTGTTTTGTATCGTCATGCTAGTGTCTTCAACCTCATACATGAAACAGGTCCAAACATGGACTCTATAGTTTCTTCTGTGGATGTTACTGATAAATGCAATTTATTGCATTTTGCTGCAAAACTAGCACCGCAAAACCGACTTGACTTGTTCTCAGGAGCAGCTTTTCAGATGATGGTTGAGCTATTATGGTTTGAGGTATCTTCCCCTTATGGTTTGTGTATGTATGATTTCATGAAGCTGAGAGGCTGTTAGTTCCATAACAAATTCATGTTCTAATGTGGCAGGAAGTGAAGAAGATATTGCGGCCATCATTCATGGAGATGAAAAACTCTGAAGGCCTAACTCCTAGAGAATTATTCACCAAAGAGCACAAAAAACTGCTAAAAGAAGCAGAGTCTTGGATGAAGGGAACTGCAAAGTCTTGCATGGTTGTTTCAACACTAATTGCTACGGGAGTATTTTCTGCTGCATTCACCATTCCTGGTGCTAACAACAATGACACAGGAGATCCTAACTATTTGAAGAAGCTACCATTTCAGATATTTGCTGTGTCAGATGCATCTGCATTTATTTCATCCTCAACCTCCATCCTAATCTTCTTGTCTATCCTTATCTCACGTTATGCAGAACAAGATTTTCTCAAGTCACTGCCATCGAAGTTAATATCTGGGCTAATAGCACTGTTCATCTCCATCATCTGCATGATGGTAGCTTTTAGCAGTGCCTTCTTTGTAACATATTATCATGGTCCAAAGTGGGTCCCCTGGCTCATTTCAGCACTTGCATTTGTACCAATACCTTTGTTTTTGTTCCTGCAATTCCCTCTTTGCTTAGATATACTCTATACCAAATACTTCTTCAGGTCTCTTTTCCGACCAAATAATCATATACTGTACTAGACTCTGTAATTCTGTATATGAATAGAGTACGTTTAGTTGGGTCAAAATGTATTGTATTTTATTACAATAATAGGATGTGCTTATGGCCAAGTTGAAGGAAGATGCAATTCTATGTTAGCACACATATTTCATTGATCCTTTCCCCAATCTTGAACTTGACTCGATTGAATTATTCTGCTGTACTATAAGGTATAGTTTTTATTAAATTTAGACTGACTAATAATATGAAAAAACTCACAAAACATGTTAAAGTAATACTCCTTCGGTCCTTAATATAAGACCTAATTATAGAGTTAATTTTGTTCCTAAATATAAGATTCATTTCTCATATTTATTAATTTTTTCTAAATTGTCTTTGTGGATACTTCTTCAACTTAACGAAGTAGAAGAGTGAAGATGGATATTAAAAAAGATGGCTATAGTGTTTTAAGAAGAAAAACATGTCATATTTATTATAATTAACTAACTTACCTAACTTCCTTAATCTAATCAAATTAGTTAAATAAGTCTTATACTACCTCCGGTCCTAATTATAAGACCCAGTTGACTTATTTGAGGAGATTAAGGAAGTAAGTTAAGTTAGTTATTTGTAATAAATAAGTATTGTCATTCCTAAAATATCCTTACTAATTAAGTGTATTGGCTAGAATTATCATTATTAGAAGGACTATCTTGGAAAAAATACATAAATATGAGAGACAAAATGGATTGGGGTCTTATAATTAGGACCAAACAAAAAGTCAAACAGGATTTTATATTAAGGACCGGAGGTAATATTAAGGATCAAGGGAGTATAAAAATAATTTATTCCTCAGCGTTAAATATAGCCCCTACAAAGCATGGTGTGACTGCAGCATCATACTTCATGATCGGTGTAATTTTTTTTGACACTTTTATTATTAGTTTTTCCCTCTGGAAAAATAACACAAAAACACTTGCTCAAAGCCAACCGTTTGTTATTATAGATGATTAATATCCTTGAGCTACTCATATATAAAATATTAAGCGTAGATCGCTTTATATTGTATATGCATATTTCATGCGCATATCATGAAATTATACCTGATCAAAAATTATAGTTTTAAATATGCGTATGAGTGGCTCGCTCATAATTTAATTGCGATTATTGTGTGCGTGTGTGTGTAGTTGTGGCCTGAATTAATTATGATCTAAATATGGATATAAAACTGTGACTAACCCTTGATTTGGGGAAGATTATTTTAGACGCACGTGGTTGGCTGAACCATGTGGTTTGATCAAAGGTTAACTAAATTGCCGCTGAGCTGACCATGGTTTTTCCTAACACTGATGATTAATTAACAAATAATTTAGTCACGATTTTATCAATAAGTGGTGTGGTCAGTAAGTATTTTGAGATATACGATTCATTTAGTTTGCAAAAGCAAATTGTTACATATCTATGCGTATGCTGGTTAGTGGTTAGTGGTTAGTGGCTATTTAATTAGCTTAATTTGTAACAAAAATAATTGGGGGGACCTATATATAATTACTATTCCGTTAGATCTTCAAATATTAAATCCACCATATGTCTTCCCGATCAAACAGTTTCACAGTTTCATTAAAAATAATTTATTAAAAGTTAAGCAGTACTTAACATGCAAAACAATCCCAAATTCTAAAAACCTACTGCCTCCAGTCGTCAAACTCACGAGTTTAAACAAACTTATGAGAATGAGATAAACTCGGATTGTAAACTCGAATCGTAAACTCGTAAAAGTTTACTTTTATTAATAAATTGGTATTAAAAGTATATAATCAAATAATTAATATATAAAAAATGAGAATAATTTCATTTAAATATATTTTAAATTTAAATAATTAAAATTATATCCATCAATGATCATAATTTATTACATTCAACAAAGAAATTTCTATAAAATTCATATATAAAGTCACTAAACAGAATCAAATCCAAAAATTTAGCATGAGTTTAAGAGCGAGTTGACATGATTTTGCAAGCTTAAAATGTAAAAACAGTAAACTCGGTAAATAAACTCGTAAGTTTTACTGAGTTTACAGTTATCACGAGTTTAAGAGTAAATTGACACGATTTTGTTGGCTAAAAATGTAAAAACGTTAAACTTAGAGAGTCAACTCGTGGGTTTGACAACAATACTTCAATCCTAATTGTAAGACTTTGTTTTTTTTTAATTGCTCAGAGTATCCTCCTACCCGAACGGTAAGAGACTAATCTCTGAACCCAGAACATGATGTTTAAGGTGCCCAAGTCCCTTTCATTTGGATCAACATTTGTTGGTTATATAAAATCTTGTTTGTAGTCTATAAACAAGTTCTTATAATTAAAAGAAGGTGTAGTATATTGTTGGGCCTTCGGAGAATCCACTCTTGAGAGTTTTTGAATTATTATATACAATAAAATAGAAAAGATTTGTCTTAACCACATGGTACTTCCTTCGATCCTATATATAAGCTTCAAACAACCGAATCAGGTTTAACAGACTAGCAGTTAGAATTAGTTAAAAATAATAAATAGGTCAGAAATACTTTTGTTTCAAATTTGCCCTTATTTATTAAGAGAATAAATGAGAGAGGCAATAAATGAAAAGGTAATAAAAAAGAATATATAGATATAATATTAATAAGAGGGATGGAGCACTAAATACAGTTAACTAAGAATAAAATCATAGAAAAAGTAATAAATATTCATACAAACTAAAAAAATAAAGTTTATATTTTGGACCAAAATTTTTTTTATAAAAAAAGTAAGGTTTACATATAGATCAGAAGGAGTATAACATATAAGAATTTTTTTTTTTTTGGGGGGCCGGGGAAGGGCCCCAGTGAATATGATGTGAAATTAGCGTCCGTCCAATTTGTCATCTTATTTTCCTCATCTTTTTAGTTACGTTCATGCATAAACACAAAGTATGGGATCAACACGATGTTTCGTGTCCATATTGACAGCTTCAAACTCTGTGATGCCTCAAAGTAAATTACACCTAATCACGTATTATAAATTCGAAAAATACTTTTTCCAAAGAATTAGCTCTAAATATTAATTATTCCTCATATATTGTAAAATGTAAATACCTTATGATTTAAGGTTTCATTTATTTTTATAACGACAACTTTAATTTGATTTATTCAGAGTTTTAAAATATTTTTAAGACTTTCTAAAATACGTATTCTTAAGGCTAGTTATTTAATTTTATCCGAGTCATGTCTGAAGTCTTAAATAATGTGTTTCGCCATTGAAAACAAGGCGATATTCAAAATACGGGGCCCCAGAGCCAATTGTCTCTGCTTCTAGAGCCAAATTTTTTTCTAGAGTCAAACTGCTTCTAGAACCAAATTAAACAAGGACAACAGATCAACGGAAATCAAGCTCAGACGCAAAACACATGATCCCCCGTTTCGACCATTCACATCGATTTTGGATGGTTAAATTTTTTTTATACATTTTAATTAATTTTCTGTTTTAATAGGTGTAGAATTTAAGATAAATATAATCTTACGGCTAATAATTTTTTCAAAAAAATAAATTTATCATTAAACAAATTTATATAAAAAGTTTAAAATCTAAATCTCTGAATGGTTTAAAGTGCATTATACATACAAGCACACATTTCTTAACGAAAGCCGTCTCACTTCAATATCCCTGCGACAATCTGCCTCGAAACGAAATCGGGGATGAGCATACAACCTAATAAAGAGAAGAGAGATTGTACTTCATATTTAGCTTTTTCGTATGGATTTAAGTTTTGCACGAGAAATACAAGAGTTCTTCTGTGTTATACACATTATATAGGCTCATTACTTGAGAGGTTCGGGTTCTGCAAGTACCCTTTTGGTAGTTATAACACACACGCACACACATATTAAAAATATAGCCAGTATGCGAAAGCTTTTACCGGGTAATAGATATCATTGCATGGATACTTGAAACTGATATCGAAAAATAACATTATGGGTTAAGATATAGTTTATTCCTAAAAATTTTCACGCAGGAGTATTCAGATGAGGAGTAATGTTGAACCTCCTAAAAAAGGTTTAGTAATATTCCTCTCATCCTTACTTGCATCCCAAGTGGTACTGCCACCTCACCAGCCCCTCTCTCTTCCTGGTGAACCACCGTGGATTGCCTCTTGATTATTCTTCTCGCACCCGCACTATGCAGCCCTGTCAGCAAACCTCCTTGCTGAGATATTATTAGAGATGCCATCGTAGAAGATGAAGCCGACGACGACGATGATAAAGCTGAAGGCAACGCTGATGACTGAAAATGACGAGCCATTGAAGATGACATAACCATCTGATCGCAAAAATTCATGGGAAGCTCTGAAAACTGCGAGTGCCTTGAAAATCACTTGATGTCGCCGGCTAAGAACCCAGGAAGGATGGTGGTGAAGGGATTTCGCACGAACAATCACCTCAGTGGACGTCGGAATGGACAAAAGGGTACTTGCAAAACCCGAACCTCTCAAATAAGCCACGGCTGTCGTGGTCGCAGGTTGCCGTATCTGACATTTTCTGGGAAATTGAGCTTAGCCTTGTTGCCTCCGAAACGCAGGGTAGCTTCGTGGTATGCCCGGGCAGCCGCCTCCGCCGTGGCTAAAGTGCCAAGCCAGACTCGGGCAGCTTTGAAAGGATCTCTGATTTCAGCTGCCCACTTCCCCCGTGGCCTTTGTCTCACTCCACTATACTTTCTTCTTCCTTCTTCAGAACTCCACTATTCATACACTGCATTTTCCATTTGCACTCTCTCTTCTCTTCAACCTTCTCCTGCAATACGTATTCATTCGCACGAGTTTATCAGCATTCTATAAAAGATCCCGCGTGGTGATACGATAATAAGACAGAATCTTGTGTGAAAGTGATAACTGGTTTGTTGCATTCAATCTTTTTTCTATTGCATTGTGAATGCATTCCCAACATTCTCAACGTTCCTACCTGATGATGTTAAATTAAAGCCCATTAATTAGGAGAGAAATGGGGAAGGGAGGGAGTGCCAAGATGGCAGCATCACGTCCTAGGTGAAAACTTCCGGGCAATATTCAACTCAAATGAAAAAGGGTATGGATATATAGGTATATATGGTATATATATTAGAAGAAAAAGGAGGAGTAACTACAAAG